CCCCCCCCGTGCTCTAATTGTCTCCATCCGTTGACCTCCAGCCTTTCTCTAGGACTAGCCTGTCCTCAAGTACCTCCTCTCTCTGGGGCCTCCCAGCCATTCCATCCAGCTGTAACCCGTCTCTCCCTTGAACTTCTGTAGCACTTTCCATCTTTCTCACGATACTGAGAGACATGAAGATACTCTTGCTGTACCGTGGAAAAATGAACACACTTTATTTCTGATTTTAGTTTCTTGACCTCGGGACTGATATTGCTTTGTTACCCATTCTTTCCTTTCCAGATAACCAAGCTGAAAATAGATAGCAACCCTTTTGCCAAAGGATTCCGGGACTCCTCCAGGCTCACTGACATTGAGAGGTAATGAGAATTTTCTGTTTACTTTTTTGTCCAGATAAGATAAAGTGAAGAGCGAGTTTGTAAGAACACACTCCTTTCAACGCCAAAGCACCATGACTTTACTGTATGTAGTCTCCAGTTCTCTGCCCCACCTTCCCTTCTCTTCTGAACCCTGCAGATACACAACTGCTTAAGTTTTGACGGCTGCTGCAGCTGCATCTATTCTGAGAGATGTGGTTTCTCTGGTCAAGACATTTATTCAAATGTAAAAAATAGGGCTTTGTTATCAAAGGCTCAGTCCTCTTGATGATATTAGGCTTCATGTCCTGAGTGGCAATCTGCAGAGAAATAGAATCTTGATAGTCTTTGTGTTCTGAAGTGGATATATTTGCTAACACTAAGGGTAGTCTTGAATCTTGAAATAAGATATAATTTAATGCAAGGCACATATTTACCTATAGCATAGAATGCTTATATTTAATAGGAGAGACATCAGTTCTATAACTTACCCCACTTTTTACTTAATTCAAATGGTTCACACAGTGTGAGGTTGTCTGTGTGATGAGTAATGACTATATTGAAATCCACAGTTTACCCAGTGTTTTTCAAAGAGATTTTTCAACCTAAATGATCAGTATTTGTATCTCTTACACACACTATGTCACTTTTTGTACTTCTTCTTTTTCTTTTCTTTTTTTTAGTGAAAATATTTAAGTTCTACTCTCAACAAATTTCAATTATACCATACAGTTTTATCAACTCTAATCACCATGTTATACATTAGATCCTGAGGCCTTATTCATCTTTTGTACTTACTCTTTTATGTGGCCTGAAGTCTTTATTGACAGCCCTCTGGTTTATTCTATTTCCAGATCTTTGTGTGATTTCCCTACCAACTGCTACATGTTTGTGCCAAGACTATTGCCTACCACATGGTCACAACTCATGAGCTTAGCATGTGTCCCCACACTGGTAACACAAATTAAGGGATAATTACACGTTTTAGCAACATCTGTCCGATCCTTTCCTAAGCCTCTCCAAATAGCACAGCATAGGGGGATGGTTTTGATTTAGAGGAACAGATACAGAGCCTCAGCAGGGGTCAGGGAAGCCAGTAGGAGAGGCTGAAAGTTATGTAGGAACAGTGGAATTTGAGTGTATAGGAAAGATTAACTAGTTGGAAAAGCTTGACAAATGGTTAGGGGTGTTGATACCAGGGAAAGAAACTTAAACTTGTGTTTGAAAATCCATTGCAAAATCAGAGAGACGGCAAGTGGGTAACTCTCTAATTAGGTGGGATGTATGTAGGCACTTAGGCTGTGACACCCAAGCCTTTGAGAACAGGGTATCAGCATTGTGGCTAACAAATGAGTCCACTGGCAAAGGCAATTTTATTTACACATGACCTTTTTCATCTCCAGTTTCTGGAGTGTGGGGAGGTAATGATTCAGGCTGGGTTTATGCAAGTAGAATTATAAGTTAGCTTTTTCTCTGTTTTATTCAGGTGTTAGGTAATAATAAGGACAATAGCTCAATGGGGCAGTAGTGATGTGTTTTTATAGTATGCATCATATCTTCTAAGATCAAAGGGTGAGCATGATATATTGGGAGACAGAGTCATGGATTAGAGTCCCAGTTCTGCCTTTTACTATAACCCTAGAGAAATCATCTAACCTGTTCCCTCATCTAGAAAATGGAGAAAAGAATGACCCTGTTCATTTCAAATGTGTAATTATGAGAACCTTAAGATGACATTTATGAAAGCACTATAAATTTCAAAATATAAAATAATTATAACTTCCTCGTCTTCTTAGATGAACATAGTTTTTTTGCCCTAAGTCTACTTCTAATAGTCTTAATGAACTACTCCTAGAGTAAAAATAGCCCCTTAGTTGCACATGTGCTCATGAGATATGAGAACCTAGACTGTCCTTTAGAATGACAGATTTGATAATGCATGCAGCTGCATTTTACACTTAACTGAATAACCATCCTGATGTGGGGAGCACTCACATGTACGTGAAGCTAAGGAGCTTCAGTGGTCTAACGGTGACAAGCTGAAAGTTTGCAAGATGACCTAAGTAGTGTGAAATTGACTGAGGTTTTGGATTTCATTTCCAGGTATTTAAGTCTGAATTTTTCCTAAACAGCCTTTGGGGATAGGTCAAATCAGATCAATTGATCTTTAGAGACCTAAAGAAATTAAATTAGTCTGGAGTCAGTTACTGCACTAAACCATCTGGTAATTGAATTTCTCCTTGTAACTGATTGAAAACAGCCCTATCTGTAACAATATACGGAACTTTTCTTTGTAAGAGATCTGAGAAAAAAAACACATCCTTTTATGACATGATGACAGAAATTGCACTTTTCTGACCTAATTGAATATGATGTTATAAATATGTGACCTGAATGATTTCAGGTTTCCTGTTCCAGATTTACAATGACTATGAGGGACATCCAAACAAAAATGCCTTTAGGATTGGATCTGTTTGCCTTATACCTCCAAACTTATAGTATTATTCCTTCTACAATTGTAGAACCTTTTGGGATACTCTATAAGGCATTATAATTTTCTTGCTCTCATTTTACTAGGTTTAGTTCAGATCCTTCAGTGTCTCACATACTTCATAACAGTATCACTCTCATTTATAAAAGAAACCTGTCTCATTAGCAAAAGTAGAATATCTTTTCATTAGATACTTTTGCACATATACCTACAGTGGAACAAGCTAAGAAGCAAACCCCAAGCCCAGAGGGATTTCTTAATATAATCCAATTTATAATTATTTAGTTCAGGGAAGAATTATCTGCTGGTCCCGTATAATAAATAATCTACAGATAGGCTGTCAGTTGGTATTTTCTTTTCCTTTAGGAGAGGGGGAAGGAGTACTTTGTACAGTAAACAGGCACAGTATTACTTCTGAGAAAGGAAAAATTACTGGGAGGGTTTTCTATGTTTTTTTCAAAATTAAGTTTCTTGTGTTAAGTTTTCTTCTTTTTTAATAAATAGTAAATAGAGAGTTCATGCTCACTGCAGAAAAACACTGACAAGCAAGAAAAAGCATACAAAAGTAACAAAATCTCATTCACTTACAGATAACTACTGTTAAGTAGTAATAAGGCGAAAGTTTATTATATGTCTTCCAGATACTGTCCTGTGCATATATAAATGTTCATTTCCTTTAGAGTTTACCACACACATTATTTTAAATCATTTTCCCTTCTTATCAGTTACAGACATGTCTATACTACACTTTTTAATGGCTGCCTAATTTTCCATTGTGTATAGTAATTTATTTGCTATATGCTAGTTATTTGGATTTCCACTTTACATTACAAACAATGCCAGGAGGAAAATGTGTATCTTAATACATATTCTTCATTATTACTATAGAATAAAGAGTGGCAAATAAAAGTGGTAGGTATACTTATTTTTCATTGTTGAAAATTTGGGGAACATTTAGGAATGTTCAATAATAGAATGGTTTAATAAACATTTATAGTCATGCAATGGAATTTTTAAAAATTATGTTAAAATATGCATAGCATGAAGCTTACCATTGTAACCATATTTAAGTGTACAATTCAGGAGCATTAAATACATTGACAGTGTTGTGCAACCATCACCATTATACATTTCCAGAATGTTCCCATCTTCCCAAACATAAAATTGTATCCATTAAACAATAACTCCTTATAACTCCCTACCTCTCCTGGTAGTATCTTTTCAACTTTCTGACTCTGAATTTGCCTAGTTCAGTTTCATCATATAAACAGAAAAATACATGATTTTAAGGCTTTTCATGCATACTGCCAAGTTTCCCTCAAGAAAGATTGCCCACGTCATGGTCAAGAGTGCCCCTTTCTTTTCACTCTTGTCAACATCCTCATCATATTTTCAATTTGATAGTAGAAAATTTGTATTTTGCCTCATAATTGCCCAGTTTATGTCCTTATGTTGTACCCTTAGTTCATTTTCATTTTCTTTTAGATTGTTCATCTTTTCTCTTACTGACCTACAAGCTATTTATGCCTTAGTATTTGTTGTTCATATCTGTTGGGATCATTGTACCAGTTTGAAATTGGCTTTTTATTTATATTTTTGATAAATGAAATATTTTATTGCCAAACCTATTTTCTCTTCCCTTACGATTTGTATCTTCAGAAGACTTTCCCTATCCCCAAATTTTATAAACATGTAAATATCCAAACACAGATTTTCTATCATTTTATTGCTTTCAATTTTTTAATTAAATATTTGATTCATGCATTATTTATTTTAGTGTAAGCTATAAAATAGACATGTCATTGTATATCGTAAGCAGCCCCAATACCATACATTTACTAACTATATACTAAATGTTTACCTATAGTAATATTTATAGTCTCTATGTCAACAGTTTGTATTGTCATTTTTGTAAATTGATAAAATATTTAAATATTTGATAATACTTAAATACCTGATTTGGCAAACTCTAAATCTTTTTACGTGTTATTTTCAAATTTTCTTTATATTCTTTGACATTTATGCTGCCAGTCTTTGGAATCATTTTGTCAAACCTTCCCAAACAAAGCCATTGGAATATTGACTGGGCTTATATTGAATTTATACAGTAATTTCAGGGGAGAAAATGGATCTCTTTACAGCACTGAAACTTCTTTCTGAAATATGCATTGTGTTTGTCCTTTTACTGAAATCTCTCATTATGTTCTCTAGAAATTTTGGTATTTTTTAAATTCATAAGTCCTACACATATTTCCTTCGGCACATAGCTAAGTCTACTAGAACTACACTATCCAGTCTAATAGCCACTGGCCACAGATGGCTGGTGAGAACCTGAAAGAATGTGGCTGTTCCATATTTGAGATGTACTGTTAAGTATAAAAAACTCCCCAAAAACCACTACTGATTTTGAAGGCTTAGTTTGAAAAATGAATGAAAATATCTCAATATCAGTTTGAAATATTGATTAGATGTTAATATTTTGGACATACATTGGATTAAATAAAATGCTATG